TCAATTTTTAATAATTTAAATTTTGGTAGTGGCTGTGTTTGGCAACCGACTTCCAGAGTTTCTAAACATTTAATAATCTATTTTTGTGAGCTGCTCTGACCTGGCTTCCTCATACCACTGGAACTCTGTTTCCCCACTAAGGGTCAGGTACTTGCTTGGTATTGGGGATGTAGCTAAGCTATAGCTGCTGCTTTGAATGTGAAATTCCATAATGGAAGACCACATTGGTGAGAAACCATTGACATGGGTTTCCAATCACTGTCATCACCTTGGCTTTCCAGTAGCTCAGATGGTCCTCTTATCACCAGTCCTATATTTGATGTGTTTCATTTCCCTGGATCACTGTTTTGGTATAATGGAATTTTGGAGTATCATTTTCTCTGCATCTTAGAGTCCCTTTTATACTGTCATCACCTCGGTAAAGCTGTCACTGAGTCTTCCTGGCACAATTAATCACCTTCTCCTCTAGGCTCCTCTATATTTTATCAGTGTCTCTCTATTACTGTGATTGTTGCATGATTATATCGTCCACATTTATAAAGTGCTTACACATGAGCTAGAGGAGGACTGGAACCTCATCTTCATGAGAAAAGGTATGCATGGGATACTTCTCCATGATTGGTAAGTGAATAATGCTAAAGAAACTAGAATCAGAGAGAAAAGACGAGCTCAAGTTCACCCAGAAAGGAACTCAATTGGTTGAGCTGACACTCAAAGCCAGGACTTCTCATTTTCAAGTCCTTTCTATATCTACTGTGTCATGTGCCTGAACCCACTAAAATTCACTTTAATTAAAAAAAAATCAGACACTTACTATGGGCTAGGCACTGTGTTAGGTGCTAAAGCTATAGAAAACCATGAATCACACTCTCCAATTACTCTTGCTAGAGCTCACAAAAGCCCATTTGAAATGTCCTGATGTAGTTGTCTCTGAGTCAGGAAGTCAACACATGGGTTTGGCATATGTCAGGCAGCTGGGATACAAAACAAGCAATTAGGTTGTGTGAACTCTGCCAGGAGGGAATGCTTGCCAGGCCAGGGAGGTGACAAATATACTGGCATTAGTCCAACTATACGCTCAGCAAGGTGCCCTTGCTGATGGCAGTGAAAGAAAAGATCTGTCTGGCGGCATCTTGAGGACAGTGGCCAGGTTTGGGATCAAGAGGGGAATGTGTTGGAGAGACAAAACCACCACCAAGCGGAACAAGCAAATGAAAACCCAACCTCCTCTGTCATTCCAGCAGAAGGGGTAGAAATATCTCTGGGCAGGGGGTTGTAGTTCTTAATTCTGTCTCTGGTAACTAATGGGATGACTTTGGAGAGTCATCTGACCTCTGAACCTCCCTCCATCCTCTCATCTGTCAAGTGTGCTGAGGTTTTTCCCAACTGGGCATAAAACTGAATCCAACATCTGTTTAAGAATTTATAATTGTTTGAATCTGGTGCTGCACAATCCAGATCAAGTAGCCCCACTACAAGTGGCTTCAGGATCTTAATAGAGCTTGTACAATGCTTACATGTGCCTCTAAATGTTCCTCTATCTGGATCCTTCCACCTATCATGTTCACCTGAAAACTGCCTCTGGCTCTCAGAACCTAGCCAGTGCATTCACCCAGCACTGTCTGCCGCTCTTTCCCTTCTGGGCCACTGGTGCATAAACTCTGAATGCTGTCACACAACCGGGACATTCTTTTGTCCCTAGCAGACCACGATCTCCTTGAAGACAAGACCCATGGCCTCTTGCTCACTGTTCTATTCCCAGGATTGGACATGGTTGATGCTCATTTCTGAGTGGGCAAAGGAAAACCTTCTCCAAAATAGGTGCTTGCCCTGGAATTTGAAGGCAGGGCAGAGTGTAAGCTCTTAATAAACTACTGACTG